GCTGAGCCTGCGCATCCGGAGCCTGTGCTCCGCAATGGGAGAGGCCACAACAGTGAGAGGCCTGCGTAGAGCAAAAAAAAAAAAAAATTTTTTTGAAGGATGTTCTTGGCAGCTTCTTTAGGGAGGGGGTCAGTGTATCTCAGTTTCTCCCACAGGAAGAGGGCCCAATAACAATCTGTGAAAGCAATGGGTGGGCGTGTGGTTCATCCCTGGGACACCCCCATCCATTAGGGAGAGCCCCCTAGCAGGTGCCCAGTAAATGGTGGGACCTGCAGACTCCAGTCCAGCACTGTCCACAGGCCATGCCGGGGCTGGGGACCAAAAAGGGCTCAGCTCAGCCCAGGAAAGCCAGGGTGTTGGTGCAGGGAATGACAGCAGAGAGGTCTCTCTGGGGTCTCTTGGGGTCCCTGAGGCCTGGAGGCTTCTCACCCCCACTAAGAAAATTTCATTGGCTGTAAGGATTAGGGTGAGTTTGCTGAAGAAAAACTTGGAATCCTGCCCTTTGCTTCTTCCATAAAGCCTGTGGCTTGTGATGAGAAGATAGTAGGAATGCTCCCTCAGCTATGAAAGTAACTAGCACTTACACCGCATTTATAAAAGTAATAATAATTAACAGAGTTTGAGGACTCAGTGCATGCCTGCATGGCGCTAAACACTTTATATGCATTAACTCATTGAATCCTCACAACAGCCCTGTTAGTTAGGTTTATTATTATCGTCTCCCTGCTTCAGAGGGAGAAACTGAGGCACACAGGCTGAGCTTCCTCAAGGTTGCACACCTGGCTGGCAGCAGAGTCAGGGTCACACCTAGGCAGGCTGGCCCACGCTCTCACCCAGTACCCTTACTGCCTTTCAGGGAGGGAGCCTCGGTAGAGGGGCAGAGGCTGTGCTGGAGAGGAGGACAAATGGTCGGCAGGTCTGGGGCCAGCGCTTCTTCCATCTTACTACAGCCTCTAGGTGGCCTTTCTTAAGCTCCTTCCCTGGGCTGGGAGGAGAGGTTGAGGATGGTGTTGGAAAAGGGGTCAGGAGGTAGCTTATTTCTCTTTAGCAGAGCTAGTGCCCTGGGCTGCACCAAGCCAGAGTGGGCAGCTATGTGACCTTGGGCAAGTTGCTTTACATCTCTGAGCCTCGGTTTCCTCATTTGCATGAAGAGGTTGCTATATCCTATCTTGAAGTATGTATCAGGATTAAATAATGCAACATACATGAAAAAGACAGGTGTCCCATAGGTGCTCAGACAATGTTAGTTGTCTTCTCCCCACTGATCTGGCTGGTCAACTACTTAGTATTTTATTGAGCTCCCAGCAGGATCACATAGCCCCCTGCATACCCCTCTGTCACAGGACTTAATGCGCATAAGGACAGGGTCCTGAGAGGAAGGACAAAGAACATCCCTGAGAGAGAAGAGAATCCAGAACTTGTTTTGTTTCACCGCTGGGTCCTCACCCCATGTTGCCAGCCGACCTGGGTGGGTGAACCCAGGACCCGCCCAGAGAAGGTAAGTCAGCGGTTCTCACCGAGGGGTGGGGGGGGGGGGATCACATCCCCAGGGAACACTTGGCAATGTCTAGAGACATTTTTCATTGTCCTAACAGGGGACTGGGGTGTGGGAGCTACTGGTATCCAGTGGGTAGAGGCCGGGATGCTGCTAAACATCCCACAGTGCACAGGACAGACCTTACAACAAAGAATTATCCTGCCCCCAAATGTCAAGAGTGTGGAGGGTGAGAAACCTGGACTAAGTGAATGGCCCAAGACCCCACATGGTGAGGGAACCCTTCGTGCCCTTCCACCATGGGGCTGCCCTCTGCCCGGCTGCCCCCAGGAGTGAACATACTGAGCCCTCCAGGAGTTCTGGAAGGACCACAGAAGGTGCT